TACCGAAGCAGACCTCCCTTGTATTGAGGTCTTGTGGCCTCTCAACTGTAACTCTATGAATTTGCAATAAAGCTTCCTTTATCCTAGCCAAAAAAAGAAGAAGAAGACGAAGCACACATGAAACGTTCTTTCATTAACGTATGTGACGTCTCAACGACCGGGAAAACAGGCGTCCCCATCTGCCACTGGTACGGTGGATCGTATTGTATCGTATACACAAAACAGGAAAGAAACAAACACGGAGCCGGCTACATCAATCAGCTGCTCGATCCAGCTATTTCGAAATAGCTAGCTCCAGCTTATGCATATGGCCGCTTCATATAGTAAACAGCTAGCTGTTTGTTTACTATTTGTGTATGATATCATTACGGGCCCAAGACGCCCTTTGATTAGTTTTCGGTGGGAGCAGCGAATTCAATGACGATCGGTGGCAACAACCCGGTGTAGTAACGTTCGAAAGAAGCCAAGATAATCATTGTTAATTTTAAGCACATGCCAACATATATGTGCATATATTCTCGGACAAGCTAGGTCCTCGAGTGTCCACCTATATAAGTAGATAGCTTCCTGCTCGAGGTATATCAACATAAGGCATTCTCCACCGATCGACAACTTCTCACACTTCTCTCTTCCTATATCCACCGATCGAGGTAGATAACTTCATCTTAGTCAAGCAAGCAAGCACGCAAGCTGCTAGCTTCGAAGAAATAGAAATGGCGGCTGTTGCTGCAAAGCCACACGTTTTGGTGGCCTGTGCCTTGCTGCTCCTCGCTGTGGGGTGCCAGGCCAGCCCTTTCTGGCCACTGGAGATCGGCTACTACCACGACAAATGCCCCCAGGCGGAGGCTGTCGTCAAGGGCGTCATGGAGAAGGCCATCTCTCAGAACCCCGGCAATGGCGCCGCCATGATCCGCATGCTCTTCCACGACTGTTTCGTCGAGGTACTAACGAATTTGCAAACATATACGTATGTACGTACATAGCTGATTAGTCAGACTCGAATAATCTCGTTGAGCTGATGATTATTAGGGCTGTGATGCTTCCGTCCTCCTGGACCCGACCCCGTTCAGCCCGACGCCGGAGAAACTCAGCCCGCCGAACGACCCTACCCTACGCGGCTTCGAGCTGATTGACGCCATCAAGGACGCCCTCGAGGCGGCCTGCCCGGGCGTCGTCTCATGTGCTGACATCGTCGCCTTTGCGGCCCGTGACGCATCCTGCATCCTCAGCAGGGGCAAGGTAAACTTCCAGATGCCGTCCGGCCGCCGCGACGGCACCTTCTCCAACGCCTCCGAGCCGCTCAAGTTCCTGGCGCCGCCGACGTCCAACCTCAGCAACCTCGTCGCTAGCTTCGTCATCAAGGGCCTCAACACGGAGGACCTGGTCGTCCTCTCTGGCGCGCACACCATCGGGCGTTCCCACTGCTCGTCCTTCGTCTCCGACCGCCTCAACACCCCCTCCGACATCAACAGCGGCCTCGCCGCGTTCCTGAGGGGACAGTGCCCGGCCGACGCGACGCCGGGCGGCAACGACCCGACGGTGATGCAGGACGTGGTGACGCCCAACAAGCTGGACAGGCAGTACTACAAGAACGTGTTGTCGCACACGGTGCTCTTCACCTCCGACGCGGCGCTCATGACTTCGGTGGAGACGGCGAGGATGGTGGTGGAGAACGCCAAAATCCCCGGATGGTGGAAGGACAGGTTCGAGAAGGCCATGGTGAAGATGGCCGGCATCGAGGTCAAGACCGGCCACCAGGGCCAGATCAGGAAGAACTGCCGCGCCATCAACCACTACTAATAAATGGAGTACGTACGTAGTGCAGCAGCTGCGCACGTACGTACTTGTGCATGCATGGTAAAATTTGGCGATTGTTTGCTTCAACCTGCAAGCGAGTTCATGTTGTAAAATTTGGCGATTCTTTCACTGCGTGCCTTTTTTTCTTTGGTTATTCCTTGGTTCAATTCTAGCCAAAGCTACAGAACTGTTCGTGTATATGGGGTTGTGCGGGTCTAATTGCGAACCAATGTTCTTTGTTGAAAGAATAAAAGTGATGCACATAGCATGTTTTGATTATTAGATTAAGCATTCTTACTCTCTAGGAGGAAAACTGCGTGCTATTTATTGATTGGGTACAGGAACTCTCTCATGGATTACAAGTTGCTGGACGATAACATGGATGCAGTCCGATGCATATATGAAAGAGAGAAGGACTGTGCTAACCACCAGTCGACTGGTGGTTAGCAACAGATCCACACGACCTTTGATCGATCCTTCCGCTCGTCCCGCTGCGTCGTTCCTCCCGATTTTACTGATTTTTTTCCTTCTCTCAAAAACCGTAGTAAATTGCTAGTGGTTTTTTCTGGTTTTTCGCTGCATAATATAAAAAAAAAGTGCTTGAAAGAGGATTCGAACCCAGGTGTATGTAATACCTATCAAGCCTAGTAACCAACTAAGCCACCTTTTGTTGTTGTCTATTGTAGAATGACAATGTTATTTGAACCTTTCTTATTTCTGCCATATCAAAAGAAAAAATAAAGTTTGGCTTGGTAACTTTGACAATGACCAGCGTGGTAACTATGGTATGTGCAACATGATAACTATACCATGATAAGGGTGATAACTACAGTATGAGAAGGTTAAAAGCATGGGAAAGTATGGTAATTTAACATAGAAATTACCAATGAAAATGTTTAAAAAAATTCCCCTGGATGAAAGATATCATGGTGTTTAAAATGTAAGATATTAGTTATCAAATCTGTGATGTATACATTATCATGCTTTTTACATAGAAATTACCGGGTGTATATTTTTCAACAAAAAAAAATTCAGGTCAAAATTTATAATGGCGTTTGTATGTGAGTTATCAGCTTAGTATGTGTCTATTAACAAGCTATTTACATATAAATTACCGGGGTTGCCCCCCCCCCCCACCCCTCGCCACAGTTGCCACATTTATCAGGGTCGGGTACATAAATTATCAAGTATGCGATGTGTGAGTTATCATGTTATTTGCATAAGAGTTATCGTGGTATGATTCAACAACTCCTCACACCCTACCCCCGCCGATAAAGTTATCAGGATTGGGTACATAATTTATCATTTCTACGATGTGTGACTTATCATGTTATTTGCATAGAAGTTACGGTGGTATGTTTCAGTGACTCCCCCCAACCCCAACCCACCGACAAAGTTACCAGGACTGGGTACATAATTTAATGTCTATGATGTGTGAGTTATCATATTATTTACATAGAAGTTATCGTGGTATGTTTCAACGACTCCCCCACTCCGGCCCCTCCGACAAAGTTACAAGGACTGATACATAATTTATCATGTTTACGATGTGTGAGTTATCGTGTTATTTGCACAAAAGTTATTGTCGTACGTTTCAACGACACCCCCACCCCGACCACTCCGACAAAAGTTATCAGGTCTACCATGTATGAGCTATCATGTTATTTGCACAGAAGTTATCGTGGCATGTTTCAGCGACTTGCCCCACCCCCATCCTCGCCGACCAAGTTATCAGGACCGGGGTACATAAGTTATCAGGTCCGCCATGTTTGAGTTATCATGTTATTCACACGAAAAATT